CAATTTTACGAAAATGGCATTGAGAAATTAGTCAATTAGGCTCGTCAAGGGAGACTTTGCACGGATGAACAAGTGAAGTTATTATAGAAGCAGCAACTATTACAGGCACAGTGTCCGTAACTTTATTTGGTGCTGCCGCGTGAACGATGACCATAAATCGCGCATGGTTGTCATACGATTTGTTATATAACACGATCTTGTTTCATAGCAACATGGTTTCACGCATAAAATTTATTGTACTGCCAGTTTGATAGATGACGGATTTGTGTATGTCCGTTTGCCGGCCAGTAGAAGCGACGTTTTGCATGATTTGATCGTCGATACGAGCGCATCGATTTTGTCTGCTGATGAATCATTCTCGTACGGTTGGTACTATGGCAGATTTCGAAACTAAAATATCATTAAGAACCGCTGTTGTTTCTTTAATATGTTGCTAAGTCAGTAGGTGTTAAAATTAAGTCATTAGTGAGAATACAGTAATTTCTGCCTAATTCGTGCTCAGATTTATTTGCCAACGAAAATGGACGATTTGGGAAGAGGAGATATGATTATTCGAGCTTTGCGTCTCGTTTTTATAGTTATTGACGATCGATATAAATCAAAATGAGTCGCAAGGCTCGAATAATCGTGTCTCCCCTCCCCAGATTGTCTATTTCTGTTTATAATTTACTGTAATTTTAAAAACGCGTTCCATTAACCCTTTGCCCTACAATCACGTCTGAGAGACGTGGACTGATATTATTTCGGGTCAGAAATGATTATCACGTCGGAGAGACGTGGTCAAAAAATCGGGCCAAAAATTATCACGTATGAGAGACGTGGTTAAATAATCGGACCAGAAATAATTATCACGTTTAAGAGACGTAAAGAGTCTAAAACAATCTAAAGAGTCTATTAACAATTTATTTAATCCTACCGAAAGTGAGATATACAAATACAGATGTTTCGCTCATTAAATTGCAGTGTTATTTAATATCTTGCTCTAAAATGACTGGCAAATAGTAAGTGTACCATTCGAAACGTATCTTCCGATTCTCATAAACATTTCGAAAATGCGCGTAAATACAGTAAACTAATTATTTCCGGTAGATCATGCCAGTGATAGGAAACTAATAGAGGCGTGCGTTATTTCAAGTTATTGGCATTCGATTAAAAGCCGATGAAATTAGGTCAATAGAGCAGAGCAATTTAATTGTTTCCAGTTATTGTCAGATAAACTGGCCTCTGAATGATGTTTGAACACCGGCAGATGCGTTTACGTTGGCAAAGCGACATTAATTTGCTTCGCGCTTTAATACGACCAATAAATTCCAATCGCGATATTCGATTTATTTTTCGCACGCGTGTATAAAACATTAGTTTTGTGTTGCACGAGCTTGCGTTTCGTATGGCAGCAGGTTCGCACACGGCGTCGAAAATATTGCAGAATGACAGAAAATGCGATCGGATTAATCGCAAGATTAACCTTAAACGCGTGTGGCTTTAATATCGATCATTAGAGACATAGTATCTGGCATTAGATGTCTAAGGTTGTGGAATCTTCTTAGTGAATTCAGTTCAGCTGACATAAAGTCAATTAACCTTCAATAATCAATCGTTTGCATGGCATCTCTTGCATATTCAAGATATTGCTAGCAATAAATACCAATAAGTTATAGGTATTCGTTTACACCTCGCCGGCCTTTAATTTAGTTTCAATAATATAATATATAATATGTTGAATCCTTTGTGCACTCGAAGTTATTTCAACTGTGAATATAAAATAATTTTTCTAGCTACCGATAAGCCAAGTCCTATTTTTCATAAGTTTCGTTTAATTTGTTCTTTCATTATGGAAAAATTTGAAATAGTAAATAATAATTTAATAATAATAATAAATACTAATAATAAAATAATATGTAATAATAATAATAAATACTAATAATAAAATAATAAGTAATAATGATAATAAATACTAATAATAAAATAATAAGTAATAATGATAATAAATACTAATAATAAAATAATAAGTAATAATGATAATAAATACTAATAAAAAATAATAATAATAAATACTAATAATAATAATTAATAATAATGATAAATACTAATAAAAAATGATAAGTAATAATATTAATAAATAATAATAGAAAATAATAAGTAATAATAATAATAAATAATAACAATAATTAATAATAATGATAGTAATTTAAAATATCATCTGTATATAAAATTAGGCTTAATAATAAGTATCTTAGAGTTCGTAAGATTTCTTTAAAGCCTAAATTCAGGAAAATTCGCAGCTCGTTTGAGAGACTCATTATAAGCTGGGCCTACTGTGCTAGCGAAAAAGGACTTCGCCGACAATGCCTAATGAAATGCAATGACATTAACTTATTGTTAGCCATGTTGTGCTTCCAGTAATCTGAAAGTCTTTTTAATTAAAATTGCTCGGCCTCCTGCAAAGCGTGAACTTAGTTTGAAGTCAACAGAAAACGCCATAAACATAGTAATTTGTCGACAAGTTACGTCAGCTTCGAACCTCGAGGTTTCTTTTTTACTTTAAACCTCGAAGGAAGAGCCTTTGACGCGGGAAAATCTCTAAAGAAGTCGAGAGATTAATGCTAATTTAAAAGCGGCGGAATTAGTTTTAGTCAGTTATGTTGTCTTATCAATTTTTAACGGTACGAATAACAAATTGCTTGATCTCGTTTTTATCTTAATTCTTACTACGAATGTTACTTTCGGAAAATGTTTAAAAATAATTATTTGGAACAATTTCAATATAATGTGCTATTTAAGAAAATATTTCAAATTATGTTATGTTGGAAATAATTATGAATTTCGCAAAGAATAAAATTATTATGCATTTAATTATCAATCATCGCAGTTACAATCACAGTGCGCACACGTTACGGAATGAATAAACAGTTTATTTTTACATTTAGCAAGAATTTCCTCCACGTATGGCTTTATGTGAAGTGCGTTTCGCGGAACAGTATTTTATGGGATACTTCGCGGAAAAATACGACGATATTTCTTGCTGCGCGGGAAATGTGCGGCGAATTAAGTCTTGATGGAATTTTATAATATCTTCCTGAAGCTCCTCAAGTAGTTTAGTATTTGGATAGAGTTCACAATGTAGCTATAAAATCCATTCATACTTTTTTTTGCGATATTAGTTAAAGACGTTGCTTGACGAGCGACTGATTTAATTAAGTATTTTAACTATTTAATTAATTTTAAAGTAACACAAACGTATTTTTGACCACGTCTCTTAGACGTGATAGTCATTTCTGGCCCGATTTTTTGACCATGTCTCTCAGACGTGATAATCATTTCTGGTCCGAATTTTTTACCACGTCTCTCAGACGTGATAGTAATTTCTGGCCTTATTTTTTTACCACGTCTCTAAAACATGATAATCATTTCTGATCCGAATTTTTGACCACGTCTCTCAGACGTGATAGTCATTTCTAGCCCGATTTTTTGACCACGTCTCTCAAACGCGATAATCATATCTAGTTCGAATTTTTGACCACGTCTCTCAGACGTGATTGTAATTTCTGGCCCAATTTCTAATTGTAGTAAATTCTCCCTAATTGACCCTCAGCTTGTAAACGGAAATAGACAATTTGAAATTACATTATTCGAGTCTTGCGACTCGTTTTTATAGTCACCGATCGTCGACAACCATGAAAACGAGCCGCAAGGCTCGAACTATCATATCTTGTTTACGAAGTCACACGGTCCATTTTGCGCAACGGTCCTCGAATTTTTCGAATCGGCAGATTCCAGTTTTCCAAGTTCAATCTCTTCGTCTTCCAAATACAGACGAAGAACGACATCCGTATAATCGTAAAAAGAAATAGAAAGGAAGATCTCGCCGTAATACTGGACGCAGTCGTTCAAGTCAGTCGATCCGTAAAATAAGCTTCTTTGCCGTAATTGAACTCCGCGGTGTTGAATTGCCTGAAATTCTACGAGCCACTTCGGGGATGAAATAAAAGTGAAACAAAAATGCTACGTTCGCGACGGAGTAGAATGTAATATTCTGCTGCTTAGTCGTTACATGTATCATAGTTCGTCGCACACAGTTAGGGTGAAGCTGCCTAGTATGAAACCGAAGTTTCTTTCGAAACATAATTGTCGATTAGAAACACTTTTATTGAAGGTGGATACGAGATCAGAAACTAAAATATGTATTCTTTTACAAATTTACTGGGAGATACAGTATTCAATTACTGGAAAATAGAAAATTCTACTTCCGCGTGATAGAAGAGAAATGGAAAGTATGCGAATTCGCAGATACAAGAAATGAGATCCTAATATTCGACCCGGTTTGCCTTTTCCAGGAAAACAATTTTTGTTTGCTTTTTATCATATGTTGTGCATATAAAATTTGTTTCCTAAGCGCCGAAGTCTCCGTGGGCCCATCGGTTACAATTCATACATCGAATCAATTGTTCACCATGTACAGGGTGTCAAAAAATTGTATGTCAAGGTTATCACCGTAGCGGAATTCTACACTTGGATTGCTATATTCTGGATCGGTGTATATATCATAATATATGTATATAATATTATATAATATTATATTATATTATATTGTATTGTATTGTATTGTATTATATTATATTATATTATATTATATTATATTATATTATATTATATTATATTATATTATATTATATTATATTATAATATAGTGCATTACAACTACATTACAATTACAATTACATTACATTACATTATATTATTATATTATTATACAATAATATTATATATAATATTATTGTATAATATATCATAATAATATATGTAGTATTATTATTATATCATATAATTATAATATTATTATTATTTATAGTGTAATATAACATATGATATAATTATTATATAATTATATTTTTATAACACATAGAACCTTGGCCCTATTTTTCGCCACCCTCATCAAAAACTAAATTGATCAGTATTATAATTAGTATTTTTCTAACACGATCGCGTCGTTTCATTTGCAGGTGGATCGCGCAGAGAACGAGGAGGGCCAGGGAGGGGGTGGTCTGTCGGCGTCTTCGGCGGGCTGCAGCGGTGCTTCCGGTTCGAGGATGGGCCCAGGGCCCGATTCCGGTAGCAGTGCTCCCTCTTCTGTTCCCCACTCGTTGGCGACCTCGAGGGACGACGAAGACGACGAGGACGAGGAGAGCAGTGGAAGACGGTCCAATGGCCACTCAGGAACGCGGTGAGTTCATTCGGTTTCTTTCGATCGTTTAGATCCTTGTATAACCGGGCCCCGCGCAACAATAGGTTGCGTCGAACCGTACGCTATAATTTCCCGCGCCTCGAATGACGGGTTTCGCAAAGGAGCGGCGCATTGCCGCAGTTCCTTCGTTCAATGTCGTTTAATGAGACATCGACGAGTCATGGTTGCGACAGTGTGGATTCGACGTGTACAGGTTTCGAGGTTGCTTTAACTGGCGAACTCGTTAAAGTAGTCACTAATTATACGGCAGAGCTTGTACCGAAGATCTTGTTAACTAAGCCGAACATAACTGGAACCTTTCGGTTCGCTTTTTATGAATGTACAGTGGGTTACAAAAGTGTTCGTATATCTTCTAAAGCGCGATAACTTTTTGAAATTGGACAGAGTGTGCTTTGTCCGCTTTCAGAAAAGTTATTATTACGTTTTAGAAAGTGTACGGACACTTTGCCTAAAGAGTCATTTTATATATTTTATCTTAAAAAGCGAATTTAATGTAATATTATTATTATATTATAATTATTATTATTACATTAAGCGGTGATTATATAATAATTATTATGTAATTATTATTATTATTACATTAAGCGGTAATTATATAATAATTATTATTATTACATTAAGCGGTAATTATATAATAATTATTATGTAATTATTATTGTTATTACACTAAGTGATAATTATTATATAATTATTATTATTATATTGAG